CCCCCTATATGATAGCACTTTATTGATGACCGGTGCTATTTAAGGTGACAGTAGGGGGTCTATCAGAACCCTGATGTCTCCTTTGCAGCCCACTGAAGCTGATCAGGTGCAGATTGAGCTTGATCAGCTTCTTCTCGGCCTCTCTGGCTGCGGAATGACAGCTCAGGAGCTGGGGGTGATGAAATCGTTGTCGTTTCCAGTTTCATTAAGCAGGGAGGAGATCAGCAAACAGATGTTCACTTGTCTCTCTTCCCTTTTACATGCTGACACCTGCAATGATGGTTTCTGGCCCTCGGGATGAGAAGCAGAGTCCCTGAAACAAAGTGGGTGATTCTAGGCGGCGGGAGGGGGGCACAAATTTACCAGCCCCAACAGTCGGCTTCATACGGGTTCCCAACAGACTCCTGGTGATATTCCCAACACATGCTTATGTTTGTATGTACATGTAGCCAGGGAGGGGGGACTTAAAAAAAAACCTTGTGTGTTTTATAAAAAATGTTTTTAACTTTGTCTATAAACATTTTTTCTTACTCAGCTTGATTGCCATCACATTGTGATAGCACACTAGTAGCGACAGGTTCTCTTTAAGGTGACATTAGAGGTCTATTAGGCCCCTAATGCCACCTTTGCACTCCAGTGAAGCTGATCAAGCACAGACCATGCTTAATCAGCTTCTTCCCCGGCCACAGCAGCCGAGAAATGACAGCTCTGAACCTGACAAAATAATTATTTCCATGAAGGAGAGAACAGTGAGCAGATGTTCATTGATATCCCTCCCCTCTTGCAGTGTACACCCGCTATGTTGGTCTCAGGTCCAGAGGAATGGCAGCAGAGCCCGGGTTAAATGGCAGGGGAGAATTTACTTCTAAGTCCAAAATGGAAGCTGTATATGTACACAAAGTCTCCAGATATAAAGTCCTCCTTGAGAAAGTGTTCGGGGTACCTACAAATGTTGGATGTTCTTTGGACCTCATTTATTGTCACTTTGTCCTGGACTCTTGTGGCCACGTTCCCTCTACACCAGACATAATTATCTACAGACTATCAGACTCACTGTGTTAGGACATCAAACGTTTCACTAGAGTTACCCTTTAACAAATTGATTTACAAAAAAAGGCATCCTGGGAAATACCAAGTCTTCCTATTTCAATAATGTGGGACGTGAAGTCAGCCTTCCATGTGCAGTAATTCTGGCCATTTTCCTTTAGGGCCTGGACCAAAGGGGAGCCAAATGATAATGCCGGCGAGGAAGACTGCGCACTGATGTGGACCAATGGAGAATGGAATGATGTTCCGTGCACCTATGATAACAGTTATGCAATTTGTGAACAGCCGCTCTGAGCTTTTAGCAGATACACAGAGAAGCTGCTTTCATTAGGAACATTAATAAATAGATTCCAGGTGGAGTAAACATCATGATCTCATTTTGTCCTCGGTCCCTTGTCATCATAGTCTCATTTTATCTCTGGTCCCTTTTATTATAATCTCATGTTATCCTTGATCCCTTGTCATTATAATCTCATGGTATTCTCGGTTCCTTGTCATTATAATCTCATGGTATTCTCGGTCCCTTGTCATTATAATCTCATGGTATTCTCGGTCCCATGTCATTATAATCTCATGTTATTCTCGGTCCCTTGTCATTATAATCTCATGGTATTCTCGGTCCCATGTCATTATAATCTCATGGTATTCTCGGTCCCTTGTCATTATAATCTCATGTTATTCTCAGTCCCTTGTCATTATAATCTCATGTTATTCTCGGTCCCTTGTCATTATAATCTCATGTTATTCTTGGTCGATTGTCATGATGGTCTCACTTTATCCCCATCCCTTTTCAGAATAGACTCATTTTATCCTCATTGCCTTGTCATCATAGCCTCATTATATCCTGGTCCCTTGTAATTATAGCCCCATTTTATCCCATTCCCTTATCCTCATAATCTAATTTTCTCCTCAGTCCCTTGTTATTATCGTCTCATTTTATCCCCCATTACTTGCCAACTTGCTTTATCCTCTTACCTTATCATGGTTTCATTTTATCCCTGGTCTGTTGTCATTATGGTCTCATTTTATCCATCCCTTGTCATCATATCCCCATGCCTTATAATAATCACCATCTCATTTTGTCCCCCAACCCTTGTCACCATAGCCTCGTTTTATCCACCTTCCCTTAGCATCTCATTCAATCCCAATGACTTTTCATCATGATCTCATTTTATCCCCAGAACCCTGTCATCATGGTCTCATTTTATCCCCAGTCCCTTTTCATCATGGTCTCATTTTATCACCAGTCCCTTTTCATCATGGTCTCATTATATCCCCAGTCCCTTTTCATCATGGTCTCATTATATCCCCAGTCCCTTTTCATCATGGTCTCATTTTATCCCCAGTCCCTTGTCATCATAGTCTCATTTTTATCCCCAGTCACTTTTCATAATGGTCTCATTTTATCCCCAGTCCCTTGTCATCATGGTCTCATTTTATCCCCAGTCCCTTGTCATCATGGTCTCATTTTATCCCCAGTCCCTTGTCATCATGGTCTCATTTTATCCCCAGTCCCTTTTCATCATGGTCTCATTTTATCCCCAGTCCCTTTTCATCATGGTCTCATTTTATCCCCAGTCCCTTGTCATCATGGTCTCATTTTATCCCCAGTCCCTTGTCATTTGATTCTCTCACATATGGTGCCTGACCACAGCTTGGAATTAATCTTGTTATTACATTTCAATCATAAATAAATACCAAATATATAACATATTTATCAGTTTAATATGATCTCTAGAAATATGTAGAAATAAACAATTCTCACCCTCACTACATAACAATCATTGCAAATGTGACAACTGCTAATAGTAATATAATGTCCGCTATGTACAAACTACAATAAAAATTTATTTACTAAGAACATTTTTCAATTTGATTTTAATTGCTATTAGTAATGGGCCAAAACAGGCCCGAGTTCAGTTTGAATTCAAACTTTTGAACATCCAGAAAGTTTGCATTTGAACTCGAACTCTATGCAAGACAATGGGGGTAGAACTTTAAAAAACAATTGTCCCCTTTAAGAGGGCTTACATGCAAGTTATTGGCCATAAAATGTGTATGGGGATCCGTGTACCGCCCTGGGGGACAGGAATGAATGAAAAAAAGTTTCAAAAATACTGTTTCTAATGGAGCAGTGGTATTTACATTGCTTAAAGTGTAACAATAAAAATGAAAAATTCCTTTAAATATCGTGCCTGGGGGGTCCCCTTACCAACCTTATGGGTTGATGGAAGGGGTTGTTTAAGGATGAAGGTAAGTTGCCAAGGGCTAAAAGCAAAATATTGTAAAGAAGATTTCCACGTGTGAGGATCGAACTCACGACCTTCAGATTATGAAACTGATGCGCCACCTACTGCGCTAACGAGGCCAAGGGCATAACCTTACGCTGGTGCATCAGGTGGCAGAAGTACTTGGAATATATCGTCAATGTTATGATTTTTCTTGGTTTTGTTAAAATAGATTTGCAGTAAAGAACTGCCTATTATATTCTGCCTTCCAGAAATGTCACCAACTCAAGCCCCTTCAGTTGCCCAACTAGCTCAGTTGGTAGAGCATGAGACTCTTAATCTTACCTTACAGCTCCCAGCATATTCACAGTCAGGTTTACATGGACATTCCACAGAGTTCCACACAATCAGCCGCCTCATCATTACAGACAAAGTTTGCCTTTCGAAAATGGACCCCCTGAAACTTGGAAAGCAAAGTAACCGGCAATGTTTTTGGAATAGGAAATAGTATGCCTTGGAAAAAAATGCTGATTTCTTGGCACCAACATGGCAGCTGACATACCATGTGGTAGATCAAGAGTTTGACGTGCTGTAATAAAGGATGGCATTGACCCCTACTGAATAGACACCAGCGCTCGCCGGTCAGGGAAATCCACCTTTTCTTCATCTTCCCCGTGGGATAGAAACACAGGCTATGCCTAATGTATTCCACCTTCCAGAAATTTTGCAAACACCAGCCCCTTCAATTGCCCGGCTAGCTCAGTCGGTAGAGCATGAGACTCTTAATCTCAGGGTCGTGGGTTCGCGCCCCAGGTTGGCGATCCAATTTTGCCATACTCTAGGTCACCCAAAAAGATGCACTAACCGATTGCGCCACAGAGAACTGTGAACTTGTGCCTTGAAGAAAATGGACAGGGTTTTACCAGGGTGAAAGAGTAGTGAATGTCATCCATTGCTGGGTTTGTAGGAAGGCGCTGGGCTCCACGTCTTCCCTGGTGGTCTAGTGGTTAGGATTCGGCGCTCTCACCGCCGCGGCCCGGGTTCGATTCCCGGTCAGGGAAATCCACCTTTTCTTCATCTTCCCTGTGGGATAGAAACACAGGCTATGCCTAATGCATTCCACCTTCCAGAAATTTTGCAAACACCAGACCCTTCAATTGCCTGGCTAGCTCAGTCGGTAGAGCATGAGACTCTTAATCTCAGGGTCGTGGGTTTGAGCCCCACGGAGGGTGATCCAATTTTTCCATACTCTAGGTCAGTGTTTTTCAACCTTTTTTGTGCAAAGGC